CCAGAGCCTGCCAGGGTGAGCAGGGTCAGGAGTAAGCCCTGAGTACCAACAGGTATGGTTCAAAAAACAAATAAAATAAGATGTAAGTAAATTTCTAAAGAAATATTCTTTTTAAAAGCTCCTTATAAACAAAAAAACATGGACAACCTGCTAAAATTAAGTTACTTAAAAGTTAAACATTTAATTGTAATCACGGGGTAAGTAACACAAATCAAAACCAGAATATCTTCACACTGGACTTTCTGGAAGTCCTAATTAACAGTCTTGAAAGATAGACAGCATCTCCTGGCCAGCTGTCACCATGACACACGCAAGAATGGAACTTTGGCACACCCAGTTCAAAGGTTTGTTAACCTCAGGCTACATATTTAACTACTACTTCAACATACTATTCTATAATTAAAAGCAAAGTATTATTAGGTTATCTGTATTCACAGTTTAATATAGGATGCCTCAATCTCAAAGATTATTTCTAAAATGCTTCAGTCCTTAATTCTCAGGTATCAAACCACTTTTACTCACTAGCAACTTAGAACCTGCACCATAAACTAGATTATTTTACATTTCCAAATCGCAAATTCATATACATCTTGTAGCACCGTAGCACTGTCCTCCTGCTGTTCATCGATTTGCTTGAGCGGGCACCAGTAACATGTCCATTGTGAGACTTGTTGTTACTGTTTTTGGCATATCAAATACACCACAGGGAGCTTGCCAGGCTCTGCCGTGCGGGCAGGATACTCTCGGTAGCCTTCCGGGCTCTCAGAGAGGGACAGAGGAATCGAACCTGGGTCGGCAGTGTGCAAGGCAAACACCCAACCCACTGTGCTATTGCTCCAGTATATACATCTTATCTAAAATAAATGAAATAAATGAGGCTGATGACTCTGCTTTAAAGCATTAATGTGGTGCATAAATTTTTATATATTTAAAACAAGTCCAAACAAATTTTTTTAAATGTATAGTGTCAGAAAGATAGTAGGAGGGTAGGGCGCTTGCTTGCCTTGCAATTGGCTGATCCAGGTTTGATCTCCAACACCACATATGGTCCCCTCAGCCCCTCCAGGAGTGGTCCCTGAGCACAGAGTCAGGAGTAAGCAAGCCCTAAACACAAATGGATGTGGCTCAAAACAACAGAGCAAAATTCCACTGTATCAAACAAGTAAACTTTCAAATATACTTATTTACAGAAAAATAACTGAAAGGGAGAACTTATAAAAATGCTAACAAAATGGAGTTCTATTGTCCTAAAAATATTAGAGATTGGACACTTAAATTCCCCTCCACATAACCATGCTTGTCTTACTCCCCTAGACGTATATTGTCCCAAGATGTAAAGAAAAGGAAGCCTCACATTTAAATTAATAGATTTGATTGTTAGAATGTCAATTCTATTCAATTAATAGATTTTGCTGTTAGAATGTCAGAATTTTAAGTCAAAACTATGAATTCATTAAAAGAGACAATATAATGTAATCCCTTGCAATACAAGTAGTTTTTCTCATATTTCTCTTTAAAGTCCCTGAAATTCTTATATTTATATTGTGATTTATGATATTTGGTATTTCAGGAATGATATAATTAAAAATAAAAGTCCCTGACATTCTTAGCAAAACATAATTCCTTTCAAATATAAATACCACATATAATTTTTTGAAAACAAATGTCAGCATGTTAGGAAATGCCTTCTGAATAAATCTCAAAGGAGATTAACAAGCTGCAGAGATACCTCCAGACCCCATGCCAGGCTGAGTCTCATCCAGGGCACCCTGGAGGGGGGCAGGTAAGCCCACCATACAAGAGCCCCGGCCGAAAACCTCCAGAACCTAATTGCCACCATGCTCACAGACAGATTCCTGAGCCAGGCTCAGGACAAGCCACCTCCAGGAATGAGCACGTTGAAAATCTGTGATGTGCGGGTTTTGTGATCAAAATCTCCAGTCTTTCAGAGTCAGGGATGGGCGACCTCCCCCATATCCACCCTGTTCCTCCGGGATGCTGGCAGTCATGCCCATGAACTGCTTCTGGCACCATACAAGCTCATAACAGATCACAATTCAGAGACTCATAAATAAATCTTGAAAGGATCAACAAGCTGCAGAGATGCTTTTGAACGACCAAAGTCACTACCCAGTTAAAAATTTAACTCCAGCTGTTACTGCCACATTTGAAATTTTAGAATTCTTATAGAGTGTGCAGCTGCGACATTTCATACTCTACACCACTGATACACCAGGAGTAGCACACCACACTGGATGTCATGTATAGCAAAAGGCAACCAATCTCAATTAAGGAAACATTAACACACAAGGTTTAGCCTGTAAAATGCTAGTAATCTCTTAAACAAGTGCTTAATGGGTCCAGGATGAGATATAGCAAATCTTCACATACTTTCTTCTAAAGACTTTTTTTAAATTATCATTTTTAGCAAACTAATCATAACAAGAAATACAAAATAAATCACTTAGGGCCTGCTATTGGGGCAGGCGTGGGTGGTGGTTGGGAAAATTAGAAATAATGATGGTGGATAAGTGCAATGGCGGTGGGATTGGTGTTGGAATACTGAATACAATAAATCATCGTGAACAAGTTTATAAAAATAAAATTTAAAACAAAAAGAAATTCCTTTTCAACAAACGTTATTAGGTAACAACATTCACCAGGATGCTTAATCTTAAAATTCCACGAAGATCACTGCATACAGGTTTGCCAAAAAGAAGGTCAAGGATGGGAAACAAAAACCAGTAACAGTATATACTGGGGGTGGAGAAATGATTCAAGGGGCTGGAGTACAAGAGGACGCCCCCAGCGGGATCTCAAGACCACCCCACCAAACCAAAAAAGTATATACTGGGTTCCAAATGCAAGAAAGATATTAAGGGCAAGGTGGGTGGTTACCCCCAAACAGCTTAGAGATGGGCCTCTCCAAAAAATGCTTGGTGCTGTACTGAATCAAACACTCAGTTCCCTCCCACATGCACTCTTGCCCTTTGAGCCATCTCTCAGGCTCCAAAAACATCTATGTTTTATTCAGAGGCATGTGTAATGTACATAAACTGGGATAAAATATTTCCTAGTTCTTTTGAGGATAGTGACTGGGGGCTACATTCAGCTCAGGGATTAGGGGGACTACTCCTTGGAGTGGTGTACGGGGCCACAAGAACCTGGGGCTCTCCACGTAAAGCACACACTTCTGTCCTTTGAGCAATCAGCGTCGAATTCCACCCTCCACGTCCCCCCCACCCCCCGCCCCTCCAGGAGGGGATCCTCCCAGCAGTAATCGGCAGCCACTTCCAAGCAGTGCAAAGCTAGGGCCCAAGGATACAGATCTGCTCATAGAGCCCAAGGACACAGATCTGTTCAGGGCCTGAAGTGCCAGGGACTACCAGGGCCACCCAGGGATGTTCAGGAACCTCAGAGCCACACCTGGATGCACTGGGGTTTGAGAGGGGGAATGTGGGGCCAAGTACAAAAACTCCTGATTTGCTGAACTGTCTCAGTCGCAAAAAAAGGTCTTTTTATTTTTTAATGTGGTACAAGCAGAGGTGCCTGCTGCCCTTTGTTCTAGACTATGTTTTCAAGAATAGTTGAGTAACAGAGAGACTTAAAAGATAAATATGTCTCCCTCTGAGCAAGGGACAGGCACACTTACTGCACAGTACAATATGTAACGTATCCTTCCAGAGGAAAGGCAGGCGTCTTCATTCTGCTCAATATAAAAGATCTGAGTTCCAAGCTGGAGGGATGAGGGGGAACCTGAGGACATTGGTGGCAGCAAATGTACATGAGAGAAGGGACAGATGTTGGAACATTGTATGACTGAAACCCAATCAAGAACAACTTTGTAGCTGTTTATCTCATAATGATTTAATAAAAAAAAAGGAAAAAAATCTGAGTTCCTTGGTACACTGTTACTGGAAATATAAAACTGATAAAGTTACATTTAATATATAAATAGAAGAGTATGAAAATTAATCAAAAAATTTAATTTAAAATTAAATTTAATTAAAATTAAAATAGTTATTGCTATTCCATTTCTGGAAATATATCACAAAAACACTCATTCAAATACATGTACACACAGACATCCACAAACTGATTACCATGTTCTTGACAATATTACTCATAAAGGCCAAGCAAGAGTCAGAAACAACCTAACTGCATATTGACAGATAAGTGAATAAAAATGCACTGTGTGTGTGTGTGTGTGTGTGTGTGGTAAAATATTATCAGCTATAAAGAGAAAAAAAGGTTAAATTTCACCATTTGCAACAACATGGATAGAAAGAGAAGGTGTTATACTTTTTGACTGCAAGAACAGTTGTGCTTACCAGGAAGAAAGGGGGAAGGGTAAATCTGATGAAATAAGTCAACTATATAGAGGTGGATAAAAATTAGACTTCTGATCCTGAACATACTGTAGCAAAATACACAAATGCTGATTTATAGAGCCATGTATTTAAACTATTATTTTAATAGTTCACTTAATATGGCAGGAACTAAATGGTCTCCCTGATTACTACCAGGAGTGATTCCTGAGCATAGAGAGAAGAGTATGACCTGAACATCAACAAGTGAAGCACAAAAATTAAACCCACAACCCACTCCAAAAACAGAAAGTGAATTGTAAGACGCAGATTAAAATCAATAACCCAAATGGTGTCTCGGTGGTTGTTCATTCCCTGTAAAATGCAACATGACTATGACCGAGTCAAGGAATCCCCAAAGCTAAAATAGACTGGGTAAGTAATAACAACTTTGATGCCAAAACAGAGCTTGACTTAGATGGACCAAAACATTAAAAGTTCCTCTGAATGAATTCTGAGGAAGCAAATGAAAATAAAGTGAATGCAGGGCTAGATTATTAGTATAATCAGTGTTGCTCTCTCCTCTTTATTTCCCTTTTCTACCTCAGACTCTTCTGATTTACAGTGAAAAAATGGCAGATTATGGGGTTGAGGCCTCCCTGACCCCAAAGAGGGACAGAAGACCATACATACCTTCTGAGACTCACCAGGGAACTTCAGCAAGGGACTCAAAAGTATACAATTCTCTGGGATCTAGAGACCCAGGTCACCATCCAGTCTGATCCTACAAAGGGAAAAGACATCCGGATTCAGCTAATCAAGTTTTGGCAAAATTTCCCATGGGGAAGGACACAAAATGTAATTTGGGGGTGGGACACTTTGGCCCAATTCAATGTCCTGTTGTTACTGTCTCCACATCCCAACCCTGAACAGGTGTGTTAGAGGGTCATACTTCTGCAAGTTGTAAATAATGCCAGGGAGTCGCCTAGTCAAGATAGGCTACAAACAGAAAAGTGCTACTATCTTAGGGTCCCCAAACCCTAAAGGCTGTTTTGTGTCCTAAATTTTCTGTGACTCCTGATTTTTAGGCTCTTGGACTGACAGAAGGCAGCTTCCACTTAGATAGCTGCACCCCTAGGAGTTCTAGGTTCTGCCTTCATGACACAGCTATCTGGCATGCTTCCTCTGAAAAGCAGCTGTTACCCTGCTACGAAGGCTCCTGTGGATACAGAATGCCTCACTAATGGAGGCCTCCTGAATATCTAGTATGATATTCCTACTTTGGGTGAACTGACCGAAGATTCTGACTTTGCGTCAATTCACACTTGGTGACTAGCAAACAAGGTAGAAAACCAACTAATATTTGAGAATATAGCAGCTCAGCCTTAGTCCCTACTTAGCAGCTCGACTTTCACTGAGCCCTTTGGGGAAACATACTCTCTACTTGGATCACCTGAAGCAGTATCACTGGTTCAATCGAGTCCACCTCAAGGAAATCATCAAATCACAGACTTAGCATCATCTCTCCATTGTCAATACTTGAGTAGCAATCACTGCCAAGTTTTCCTAGACTTTAGCAACAGACCTCTGAACTTGCTTCCCTATGATTAATCTACTTTACCTTCAATTGACAGATTTTGGAGAACCAACTGAACGTAAAGTAGATTAATCATAGGGAAGCAAATTTTGAAAGGATAAACTTGAAAACTTCACTCTTGGCACTTGGAATTCTATGATATCCCTACTACCTGAAGTCCAAATTTGGCTGACCAGAATCTAATGATGATTCTCAGCAGGTAATACTGACCTGAATTTAATAATATGATCCTCAGTAGGTAAAGGGATATACACGCTAACCTTTCAGTACCTGTACTGCAAACCAACAGGAGGAAAAAGCGAAGGAGGAGGAACAGGAGTAAGAAGAGGCAGAGGAGGGCCTACCATAAAAGGGAGAGGGGTGGCAGGAGGGAAACTAGGAACACTGGTGGTGGGAAATGTACCCAGAAAGGTACTGGTGGTGGGAACATGGGTGTTGTCACACTGTATGACTGAAACCCAATCATGAACAACTTTGTAACTATGATTCAATTTTTAAAAAATTAAAATTAAAAACTAATAATGATGATTGAGACAACCAGTCCTAGTTTACTTATGTGTTCCTTTTCCACTTTACATTTTACATTATTGGCATATAAAACTAGCCGTAATTCTAAGATGTGTGTGACCTCTCACTTCCAGCTTCAGCTTCTCCCTCTTCCCATTAATATCATTCTCCCTTTGGCCTAGTCCACTCTCCACTGCCCGGATGACATCACAGCATGGAATTTTATCTTGACGCATAAAATCAAGTACTATGGAACACACTGCACAAAACTCAAATTGTTCTCTTTTTACTGCCTTCTCTTCTACTCCAAGGAAGGGGCACTAACATTAATTTGGGTAATTAATGGCAATTCATATACCAACTACTACATCACATGTCAAAGAAATAAGTGATCAATAGAAATAGTCATTGAACTTAAAAATAAATTACTTTAATAAAACTTTATTCCACCATCCCTATAACATAGTATTAAAGACAATGTTTCACAAAAGCATTGTGAGGCACATAGCAGAAACACTATTATTTCCATTTTAAAATCTGAGGCTACAGACGAGAGCAATGGCCCAGTGAGTAGGGCACTTGCCTCCCCAGCAGTTGACTTGGATTCAACCCCGCATATCACATATGATCTCCCAAGCACAGGCAGCCGGAGTGACCCCTGATCACAGAGCCAACAATAAGCCCTGAATACCTCTGGGTGTTGCCCTGAAAACAAAAACTAAAATCTGAGCATCCTCACTATTACACAAGGGCAAATCAGAACACAAATGCAGCATTTTTGGTCATCCATACAAAAATTTTACAATGCATAGACATACAAGTAAGAATCAACAAAATACAAAAGCCGATTTTATGACCTAGTCAATCTCTCATTTCATTTAAATTATTGCGTTCAAATATCTATTACCCTTAGAACAGAAAAATGGCATACAAAATCCCAAATAATAATATCCAGATTATGTCAAATTTTTTTTATAACAAGTGTTTTCTGAAACTGACTTAAACTAGTATTCAGTACAGTAATTTGGATTATCTAGTAATTTACCTGAATCAGTCTAGGATTTAGTACATACCAGACATAATGCACTAAAGAAAACATCAAATGAGATTACTTAAATGGCAAGAAAATAACTGTACGGGATTGAAAACTTTCTGGCATCACACAAAAGTGTCACAGAACATCATCTGTCAAAATAGCTACAAATATATACCTTGCATTAGATAGATTTAAACAAAATCACCCAATACCTTTGTAAACAGTTATTTTCACATATGGTAGCAGTGTCAGAAAGTGTCACAAGAACTGTATTAAAAGAAACAACTTTCTGAGAATGAATTCCTAATTTAAAAATCTTTACAACTTATTTGCATTCTGATATATTTGCATGCGTGGGAAGGGTGAAGCTACAGTTAGTGAACAAGACATTATAAATTTTGTATGCACTCACCAGGAGTAGAGAATAAGTGAACATTATCTATCCTGTGTGGCAAATGAAAAGCAATTTGAGATGTGCCATGTAAAAATACACAGCCTAAATATACAAACTACAGAGCCTTAAAGTGGTACTTTGTTGAAAAGGTAAAGACTACAGGTCAAAGAGATTTGGGTTCCAATACTAACCTAGGGGGCTGGAGCAATAGCACAGCAGGTAGGGCATTTGCCTTGCACAAGGCACATTCGAATTCGATTCCCAGCAGCCCACGTGGTCCCCCAAGCTCGGCCAAGGGTAATTCCTGAGTTCATGAGCCAGGAGTAAATTCTGTACATAGCCGGGTGTGACCCTCCCCACCCCCAAAAATAAATAAATAAATAAATAAAAAATACTAACCTACCTCATCCTACTTACAAGCACATACTTTAGCAAATTACTTAAGGCGATCTAAGCCTGGCTTTCCTAATGCTAATCAGAATTTAACTAGCAACTAACCTATGTCTTGCAGAGCTGTCATAAAACTAACCTGTATACGGGATCTGGCATAAGAGCCAAGACCCAGATTTTAGTTATTATGTCATTTTAGGCACGTAACCTGATTCAATGACAGGTGAGAAACCTACCTACCTTAATAACTGGATAAAGGCTAGGCAGTTTTATTGTAAGCAATAAGCATCCTTTTTGGGGGGAGAGGATGCAGAGAAGGGGAATTGTTTGGGCCCCCGTTGTGCTCAGGGTTTACTACTGGCTCTGTGCTCAGGGATGATTCCTGGTGGGGCTCTGGGGAACATATGGGATAACTGGGACAGAACCGGGGGGAGTCGCATGCAACGCAAGCACCTTACTTGCTGTATTGTATCTTTCGAACCCCAGCAGTAAGTATCTTTAAACATTATTTGGCAAAGCAGTAAGCAGTAAGCACTAAGTCTGTTAGTATTATCATTATCACCACTACTGAAATCACAATATTGGATTATCCCTTCCATTTCAGCTACATGATAAAATATTCCTTGAAAAATTAACTTTACATAATAAAGGATGAACTCTCATATCCATAAGTATTTATGCTCAATTTTAGAAACTCTGAAAGCACAATAAATTGAACTGTCAATTGCTCATGAATGCTGCCAAGATATATGTATCAAATATCCATTTTCTAAGGGTACAAATCCACTTGATAAAGCAAAATACAAACTAGAATGTCTATTGTTCTCTCCCAAAGACCTCAAAGCAATTTAAATAACCAAATATAGCAAGCTTACAAATAAACAAGCTACTTGGGTGCAAATCAACATCTTTCCTCAAAACTTTTGCCACAGAAATACAAAAATAATGCTAGTCAAAAACTCAATCTTTATATTCACTCAATTATTCAAAACCATTTACTGAGAATAGAAATGGAGAGAACAGGTGTTAAGATACTTGTCTTGAGGGCAGACAACCTTAGTTCAGTCCCCAGCACTACCCCAGCACTACCAGTGACCCCCTGAGCACCACCAGTGATCCCCTGAGCACCACCAGGCATGAGCTCCGAGCACAGAGTCAGCTGTGGCCCCAAAACAAAGATGGGCCAGAGAGGCAGTCCAATGGGTTAAGGTACTTGCTTTAACATGGCGGCCAACTAGGGCTGGATTACTAGGAGTAATCCATGAGCACAGAGCCAAAAGTAAGCTCTGAGTACTGCCAGAGATGGCCCAAAACCAAAAAAAAAGAAAAAAGAAAGAAAAACAAACATGTATTGAGAATCTCCTGTGTACCAGACAAGCACTGTGCTGCATTCTAGTAAAAGGGAAAAAAGAGAGAAAAAAATAAGAGTGGGCATACACTAACAACATAATTAAATATTTCCAAATGTTAAAAAGTGGAAGAGAAAATTATAGGCTCTAATAACTGGGTGCATCAATACTTAATGAGTTAAGTAACTTCATGTAAGTGACAGCTGACTTTCCTTCCCCTAAGGAGACTACGATAAAATAAAATAAGCATCCCTCTATATCCCTCAATTACTTACTAATGTCTGTTTCAAGCACCAGCCAAAGAATCCCAACTGACACAACTAACATGTAATTTGACCATTGGGGAGGAACAATAAAGAGAAATGTTAAGTATGACTTAAAAGTTACCTATCAAAAAAATTACGTGCATTTTTGTCTGCACCTAGAATTATATTTTTGCTGGGACAACTGAGTAACAATGCCTCCCTTCAGTCAACGACCTTCTTAGAAGAAGAAAATCTAGAATCTACCC